CCTTTGCAGAACTTCTGTGCAGAACAAGCCTGACAGGGCTTCCTGGAGAGCCCTGATCTCAGGGATCTCTGGCTAATGGCTCAGGCTGATGCCATGTGCTGAATATCCATTTCCTTTGTGTGCACAGGGAGATTCCGGCGGTCCCGTGGTCTGCAATGGACAGCTCCAGGGCATTGTTTCCTGGGGTATTGGATGTGCCCAGAGGGGCTATCCYGGAGTKTACACCAAGGTTTGCAACTACGTCTCTTGGATCGAGTCCACCATTGCYGCCAACTGAGAYGYTCATTTGGTGTCACCTGTATTTTCTCATCATCCTTAGTTCTCTTTTGGGTCTGGACAAACAAAAATGATGAAAAATTAATAAAGACTTTCAGGCACCTCTACTTTGTGCACTGTTTCTCTGGGAACTTCCAAAGGCTGTGATATGGAGGGTAGAGGCAGTGAACTCCAGTCAGGGGGAAGCATTTAATGTTTGTAGTGCCTCTCAATTGACAGGATCTTGGAACACTTTATACTCTTCATCCGGAGTCTTTCACTCTGTTTTTTGCTATCATTTCTGGAGCAGAATATAATTTCTGTCCTTCTGAAAAGGACAAGCAATAGCCTATACTTCTGCAGTCCTTCAAGTGGTTCTGAAAATCATCCTCAAACTTTGCCTTTCACCCTTCCTCTGAGAACACTCCCAGCTGCAGCATGCCATCCTTTCCTTGAGCCTGCTTATACCACTGTAGGGAGGAATAGAAGGGGGGCGAGTGTGCTGTTTTGCAAGGAGGTCCACAGGAGCAGAGTGTTGGAGTAGAGACTTTGCATCTGCCATGTGGAAGACTTGGTCTTTGCCAGGAGGCTGATTAGGATGTCATGCTTTATGCTTGCAGAGTCCCAGAATGAGGTCTTGCCATCCCAAATCCCAAGAAAAAGTGGTCAGGAGAGAGAAAAGTGGGCAGTGAGGAGGGAAGGCAGAAAAGCTGCAGGAAAGAAGGACTTAAGGCTGGGAGTGAAGCAGTAACACATGRCAGAAAAGGAGGAAGGCAAGGAAGAAAGTAGGAGAGAAGGAMGGAACAAAAAAAGGGCAAAAATCTAGGAAAGAATGAAAACTAAAAGGAACACAGGAAAAGAAAGCTGCAAGAGGGAAGGAAGAAAGGCTCAGAGAGTGATGGTACCCAGGACTATCTGCTGCTGCCTGGAGCACTTTGACTATTGCCCCAGATACTGTCAAGATTTGGACTACATCACGAACATCAGAGCTTTCAGGTCACAGGGTGTCATGGAACTTGGGAACCTGGTGACTCTTGTGCTGATTCCCTGGAGACWAGTGGGGGAAGGATCAGTTGGCCTTGTCCTTCCAACTGGTGGAGAAGAAAAAGGACTGTGGGAACTCTTCCACATCCTGCTTCTCCATGAGTTGATGTAGCAGACTGAAAGGAAGAAGAAATGGATAAGAATGAAGGAAATAGGAAGGTGTGAGAGGACACAGAAGAAAGGCCAGGGGGCAGAAAATTTGTTTGTGAATGGCAGAGAAATGAGTTGAGACAGGGAAGACAAGAAAAGAGAGCTGAAATGTCATTCAGAGGTGGAAAGAATAGAAAAGCTGTTGCAGACCATGATGAAAACAAGACAGACAGACATTCCATGTCTTTCCAGAAGAGCTGGAGGGCAAGTGAAGAAAATGGGGTACTGTGAAATACAGGGCTCAGTGTGTGCTGTTGGCAGATCCCTTTTCAACTGGAAAGGTTTGTGCTATGCTGCACCATCCTTTGAGTCACTGTGGATCTTGTCCAGCACAGAAATATGTGCCAGAGTCATTGAGGAGGGCATGAYCTATCTTCACAGATAAATGGTTRTTCTTAGTCCCATTGCTCTGGAAGCGGTTTTTGAATTCCTTCTCAATATCTCCTTTGCTGCCTTCAGCTGCATATATAATCAACTGCATACYRGCAYCCTYCTCCATGGGTAATTTGTACCARTACATGGACCGAAATGCATTCCCAGATTGAGAACATTCCAGGGTCACGGGATCTCCCACCCGGACAACTGTATCTGGTGATTGCTGTATGGCCCAGCCTGGAAAGAGAGGAGGAGAAAAGATAGAAGTGAAATGCAGTGAAAAGGACAAAAATACAGATCATTCAGGTATGCCATGAATGGAATGGAATGGAATGGAATGGAATGGAATGGAATGGAATGGAATGGAATGGCATGAGGATATCTCCATAGAAAGTTATGGGAGAGTCTCTCCAAAAAAGATATGTAGAATCCAAAAACCCCGAACTAACCGGCTTCATATAGAAGAGTAAGTCTCTTCTGAGAAAAAAAAATGACTTCAGTTCTGTGAAGTATTAAAAAGAGACAGGAAAAAACATAGAGAACATTGCAGAATTCTCTGATTTAACAGRCTGTGGAGAAGCTGCCCCTGGAAGCCCTGGGGAAGGGGCACTTCCAGCAATTTGGGGACACAGCTGAGGAGGCACCAGCAGCCCCAGTGCAGCTGTTCAAAAGGATGGGAAGCCCACTTACCCACAGGAACCAGGATGGCCACCAGGAACTGATGGAAATCCATAGGGAAAGGGCACGTCCCTCCAGCAACCTGCCCCTGGTGACAGCACAGACACAGAGATGTGTAAAGAGGAAAGGTGGAGAGGAAGAGAGA